ATATTTGGCTGTATTTTGCTGACCTCTGCATGTAACCCAATGCATGAGCCAACAGATTACTCTTTAAAACTGATGAGCTGTTCCAGTGATTGTCTGAATTACTGAAACAATTTCAGCTGTCAAAATCCAGTCCATCTCTTCCCATGTGTCTTGTGTATTGTCAGATTGTGAGGTGAGACTCATAGTTGTGAAGGAGAATCATGTGTGCTTCAGAGTTGGTGGGGGAGAGCTTCTGGAATGAGTCACACAAACTACCAAAACTGACGCTAGAAGAAATAGAAAATCTGAATAGGCCTATAACAAGTAAAGAGATTGAATTAGTAATCAAAAAACTTCACACAAAGAAAAGCTCAAGACTAAATGGGTTCAATGATTAATTCCACTGAACTTTTAAAAATTTATTAGAACAATATTTCACAACTCTTGCAAAAAATAGGAGCATAGGAAATATTTACCTAGTCATTTTGTGAGGTCATTATTATCACTTCTTAGAAGCAAGGATGGCAAGACTTCATTTCACTTTTTTGGACATGTTAACAGGAGGGGCCAGTCCCAGGAGAAAGACATCATATTTGGTAAAATAAAGGGTAAGTGAAAAAGAGGAAGAATCTCAATGAGATGGATTGATACAGTGGCTGCAAAAATTGACTTAAACCTAGCAACATTATGAGGATGGTGTAGGCCTGGCAAGATTTCTTTCTGGTATACATGGGATGGCTATGAATCACTGGCACCTAACAACATTATCAGTCTGATTCCAAAATCAGACAAGGAAGTCACAAGGAAACAACAGACAGAAAAATCTTCAACATAATATTAGCAAGGGAGCTCTGGTAGCATAGTGGCTAAGACACTTGCCTGCTAACCAGACGGCTGGCGGTTCAAACCCACCAGCCGCTCCTTGGAAGGAAGGTTGGGCAATCCTACTTCCGTAGTGATACTGCCTTGGAAACCCAAGGAGGGGTCGCTATGAGTCAGGTTCGACTCGACGGCACATAACAACAACAACAACAATATTAGCAAATGAAATCCAGCAACATATAAAAAAG